TCTAGTCTTCGTCAGCAGCGATCTAGTGTTTGTGGCTGCCGATAAATTCATGGTCATCTACAGCGGACAAGCGTTGTTGACCTACAGTGTGCTTTAGCACTTTATCGGTGAAACATTATCGCTGGTACTGCCATTTCCCGGGCGAACACTCTGGGCAGTTGGTAATTTGACACTTTTTTCAGTTCCTTCATGTTGTGCGCCGAATAATAAAAGAAAAAAAACGTCCACGGCAGTTCCCAGCGAATTAAGTGGAGTCCACGAGTGCTTCTCACCAACGTACAGCAAAATCATCCTGGTGGTCTTTGTAGACCCTTTCGACAGCAATAGTGGCGCGACCCCAATAATCCCGGTCCGTGGTATCCGTCTGCTGGTGCTGCAAACGTCTGGGGCGCTAAAGCTGACAAGTAAGTTTAGTAGAACCTGGCGTTCTTTGAGTTCTCTTCATGTGAGCTTCCCTGACACTCAAGATGAGTAAGAATTCGGGTGCAGAACAATGCTGAAATGCGCTTGATCCTGTAGATACTGCTTCTGATCTGCTCATCGATCTCTGTTGTCTGTCAGTGAATGCTTTTGCTAAGCAGTTCCCATCTCAACTCAGGTGGAGTAAGCAGTTAAATGATGCTGCGAATCCAGTCATACTAGCCGGTCGAGAGCGGTGACAGTATTCAGTCAAGACCATGGCGTCCGTGACGACCCAAATACTCATGCGAACGACTTACTCTCGATATAATTGAGTGTTTTTGCCAATCTTATACATGCGAGTACTTGCTTACTACCCTCCTGTAAAGTCTGTCACCGCTTGCCATAATCCGTGTCGCGCTATCGTACAACATGGGTCGCGCGCTTTTTGAGACGATTCAAGGAAATCCATGTGGTAGCATTACAAAAAGTGGTGATTACTGCCCGCTGCGATATGGCTCCGCTTTGCCATCAACGTCCCCGTTCGCAGGCTTTGCCTCGGTGGTGCTTTCAGATATATCGCTGGATTTTCATCAGCTCAGCTGTATCGGCAATTGTCGCTGCTTCGGTAGTCGTCGCGCTACATCAATACCAGCCTACATGTCGCCAAGTAGTTGATGCCAAATGTTAAAGGTGGTGCTTGCAGCTTGGTCTCCGAAGCAGAATAATTAATACGAACTTGCCAGCACTATACAGGGGAGCTCTGAGCTGTGCACTTCATCGGCCACGGACACTTCAAGACACTTTACACACTGATTTGGTTAACACGCCCAGCCTTGTCCAATCTGTACTTGGCATAATCAAGGAGCAGTGTTGTAATATTACGCGCGCAGCAGCATGACCCCGCACGACATCATTGCTCTCACGTGCGGTATGCAGGGGATTGTCTTGCTTGGACAGCCGCGATTCGCGGCTCAAACTCTATGTCGGCAAGTTGTGGCCATGAGTCCATGGTCTATGACAAAGGCCCGGGAGCAGATCACACGGTACTTAAGTAGTCGTTTGAAATACGAGTAGCTCATGTAGGAGGTAAACTCGGTGGGCAATCGGGTGTCCGCTGCGTCGGTGTCACAGCCATCATACTGCACATAATGGAGTGCAAACTGCGGAATTCGAAGCCGCGGATATTTGCTGCTGCCGGAGCAGTATGGATCTCTTTCGATTGTACGGATACATATGCCTAACGTCTCCCATACAAACGGTGAGTCACGGCCGGCATAATCCGTTGATGGCCTTGACCTGGAATACAGTAAGCAATAGACATGAGCACATCTGCTCGGATAGTTCTGTGCCTTACCATGTGTGCGTAGGTTGCTTCGAAGCTTGATGCTGCGAGTCCAGCACAACAATCCGTCTCATTCTCCAATTCCCCTTCTTTCGAGCAACGTGCCTCGGAACCCGTTCGCCCCCATCAACGATTTCGATGGAGAGGCACCACGATAACCCCGCGGTGGGCAATCCCACCGCTAATAGCGACACAGACGACAACCAAAGTGTCGGCGATGTCGTCCCGGAAATGAACCCCAAGGTGTCCACCTACCGTCTGCCCCGCTTTAGCTCTCGCCGTCTCAGTTCCAGTAGCTCTATGGGTGACTACGACAGACTACCGCGTACGAAAAGTATGTTCCCGGAACCACAGCAACTCACCAAGGACGACCTCACCAGTGCCGATGCACTGATGGCCGACGGTGTTTTCACAATGAATTCGACCTTGTCGACGGTCATTGAGAACGCTCTCGGTCACCCGATCCCCGGTCTCGAGGTGCGCTTCCGCAACCTGGAATTGTCGGCCGAAGTACCGATGATCAAGGGTGGTGAGCTGGAAGTCCCGACGCTGATCAACCAGGTGCAGCAAGGTCTCAGCAATATGTGCTGCAGCTCCAACAAAATGACAGTAGAGAAGAAGATCCTGCGTGGCGTGACTGGTTCTTTTAAGCCAGGCCGCATCACCCTCGTGTTGGGCCAACCCGGATCAGGCAAGTCCTCGTTGATGAAGGTGCTCGCCAACCGGTTCCACATGGACACAAACATTACTCTAACCGGTGAGATCGACTATAATGGTAAAGACCGCGGTAGTTTACTCAAGGAACTTCCTCGCTACGTCGCCTACGCCAACCAGATCGACGACCACTACCCTCGCTTGACAGTCCAGGAAACCTTCGAGTTCGCCCACCGCTGCTGTGCCGGAACGGGCATGGAACCCTGGGCCGTCGAGGCTCTGAAGAACTGCACACCTGAACAACACGACCACGCTGTGGATGTTCTCAATGCTCACCACAAGTTCGCAGCCGACCTGACGGTCAAGAAGCTTGGCCTCCACAATTGTAAGGACACTGTCGTGGGTAACGCCATGCTTCGCGGTGTCTCTGGTGGTGAACGCAAGCGCGTGACCACGGGCGAAATGATGTTTGGTATGAAGCGTATGCAGTTACTAGATGAGATCAGTACAGGTCTGGATAGTGCTGCTACCTACGATATCTGCAAGTCCATGAAGAGTGCTGCTCGCAACTTCAACGCCACCGTCGTGATCTCGCTGCTTCAGCCGTCACCGGAAGTGTTTGAGCTGTTCGACGACGTGTTGCTGATGAACGAAGGCACCATCATGTTCCACGGTAAACGCGAAGACGCTGTGCCGTACTTCGAGAACATGGGCTTCCACTGTCCGCCTCGTAAGGATGTGGCCGACTTCCTGTTGGACTTGGGAACCAACAAACAGGACGCCTACGTCGTCGGAGGAAACGTGCCGTACCAGTCCGAGGAATTCGCTGCCCGTTTCCAGCAGTCAAGTATCTTCCACAACACGCTGAAGCAACTCGATGCTCCTGTGGAGGAGACGATGGTGTTCGCCGACTTTACGCCGTTCCGTCAAACGTTCAACGAGGACTTGTCGACGCTATTGAAGCGTGAGGTGACGCTCACGATGCGTGACACGACGTACCTTATGGGCCGCGCCGTCATGATTATCGTCATGGGTCTGCTGTACGGCTCCACTTTCTGGCAAATGGACGACTCCAACAGCCAATTGATCCTGGGTCTGCTGTTCTCCGTCGCCATGTTCCTGTCCATGAGTCAGGCATCGCAGGTATCGACGTACATCGACGCGCGCTCGATCTTCTACAAGCAACGCGGCGCCAATTTCTTCCGGACCAGCGCGTACGTGCTGGCCACGTCCATTTCGCAGATCCCGTTGAGTATTCTCGAGACGGTCATCTTCGGCGCCATCACGTACTGGTTCGGCGGATACGTGGACGATGTGGGCCGCTTCATCGTGTTCCTGGTCACGCTGTTCCTGTGCCAGATGTGGTTCACGAGCTTCTTCTTCTTCCTGGCCGCGGCGTCGCCCAACTTGACGATCGCTCAGCCCATGATGATGGTGGCCGTGCTGTTCTTCATGCTGTTCGGAGGTTTCTTGATCTCCAAGGGCGACATCCCGGACTACCTCATCTGGATCTACTGGATCGACCCGCTCGCGTGGGCTATTCGGTCGCTGAGTGTCAACCAGTATCTGGCGGATAAGTTCGACGTGTGTGTGTACAACGGCATTGACTACTGCGCCCAGTATGATCTTACTGTCGGCAAGTACAGCCTCGGCGTGTTCGACTTGCAGACGGAGTCCGCGTGGATCTGGTACGGCTGGATCTACTTCATCGCTGGCTACTTCGCGTTCGTCTTCAGTTCGTACTTCATGCTCGAGCACAAGCGCTACGAGAGTC